AGTGGAGCAAGAGATGGTTGTACCAGGACATAGGTAATATTTTCACACTTCATAACATAGTGTTTGTCTGCTTAGTCTTTTTTTATAGTGCCTGAATAGATGCATTTAGTTACAACTTTTATACATGACAATAATTTTGTATTTTATTTAAGCACAGAAATTGAGTATGGATATTCCAATTGAGACTAACTGCTATTGAGAATCTTACAGAGAATGCCCCTAAATTTAGAGCAGCTTGAGCCAGAAAGTTTAGTAACAGCTTGTGTGTCTGGTCTTAGCAGAAGGAGATTGTGATTTTTCTTCCATAGACAGTGCTGCAATGAAGTTAATGGAAGCCAGCTTGTACATGGGGAGATCCAATGATTTGAGGGGAGCCAGGCTTAATTACAATACTACTGTATTCATCAAAATAAAAAGGCACTAATTTAAAAATTGCTAATCTATTAAAATACTGGCTAATAGCCATTGAGACTGCCAATATAACCATAGTGGAGGAAAGCAAAAGAACCAACTAGTACTGCCAACCATGGAATATATTGACAATGGAGGAATTCACAGATAGGAATAAGGAAAAAAAGACATACCTTATTACATGAACAGTCAATAAGAATAATCTGGCCACCAAACACAAATTCTCAATTTTCAGTGCACTGGATATGTGGTGTTAGTACCTGACTGAAGAGTATGAACAGGATATTCAAAACTTCTCTTTTACTAGGTTAAGCTATAAATAAACCTAAAGTTAAAAAAATTACTAAGAAAATTATAATTGTTTTAATACATAATAAAAAGTGTTTACTATAAAAATCTTAAGATTTCAACGGGCAGTATACATAGTTTTATTTACATGACATACACCTAAACTCCTTCAGTCAACATAAAAAAAGAGAATAGCAAATATCTAAGTTAACCCTCATGTATTTCCCACATATGTATATGAGAGTCCAATAATGCAGACTGAAATCTGTATATTATGTATGGTATCAAGACTGCTTTCTAACACCCTAAAGTTCAGATTTTTCACTGCTACACTTTTATAGCTTATTACATTCAAGAAACAACTCTTCTTTTTTCCCCTCCATTTTTGCAGTTCAAAGAGGCAAGATACTGTTCCTCACTTCATTTTAATCAAAGTACAAAAATAATTTTAACTGGTAATGCCTCTGAGCCATTTCTTATGTAACTACAGAATGCATTACGTTATTCTGAAATAAAATTGACGGTTATGAAATAGTTACACCATATAAAAGCAGGTACACAAATTAACACCTTGGGAAAACAATATTAATTTCTCACATAAAAGAAAATAAATATTACAAAACAACATTAGTATACTTTGCTATACACTGAAAAATATTATAGAAGTCAGCTGAATGAATGCTGTCATCACAGTAGCAAAAAAACAAAACAACATTCTGAAGGAATATGTAAGAATTTGCTACTTATATTTTCACTCTGTTTATCTTTTCTACCTAACTAGACACTATATGTACCTTTCTCTTAAATCCTCTTAGTTTTGATCAAGCTTTTCTGCGAGGAAAGAAAAAACACGTCCCGGAAAAATAACCAGAAATACTGAGCTCTGCTTAGGTTTCCAGGACAGATCTAAGTACACGTCACAGAGCACTGAAACAGAAGATGAAGATCTGGAACTCAAAAGCTTGACATTTGGTATTTATTCATCATTATTAATTATTATTTCATGGAGAACTGACAGTGACCCCAATATTTAGTTTACCTAACACCTTCCATTTTAAAAGATTATTGCCATCTTTCTTGAGCTCTATCACCTTTATTATTTGCAGCAGGGTTTTGGCAGGAGGAAAGTGCAGTTTACTAGTACCATGAAATTCTGCTCAGATGTTGATGAATATAAAAACTGTTGAAAATAGCTATTTCCCTACCATGGCTTGTGTTGTTACTGCGTGATTTTGGCAGCATGCAAGAACCCCATGAACATTCTAAGGCTTGGACCCCACAGCAACTGCCATAGCAGCATACACTGCACTGGAAATCCCTGTGAACAGAAACTCTGCCGAGTTGCTGCCAGAGCAGCTATAGTACCGGAGGAAGGGATGGGAAGATCCAGGCTGGGCTGCAACGATCACCTGCACCCAACACATGGTCCCAGTGGCCATTGCCCACTTCTAGGGGTATCACAGATGGGCAGATATTATTCTCCCCACCCAGACCGCCCACGGTGGGATGAGAACCCCAGGAGAAGATAAATTACAATAATAATAATGTGTACCAGAAGAACATGAGTTCTAAACTCTGTTGCTGAGTGCTTTAGTAATTGTGTACTCTTCACAGTTATTATTAAACTGGGACTAGTAATATATCCCAGCTCTCTACTACAGCAGACCCAAATCTCATCCAATCAGCCACATTGCATAACTTTATTTTCTATTCTGTCTGTAGAATGGGGCTACTCATGCATATGTAACCCACTATTTTTCAGAGTATTATGCAACTTCTTTTAGTGGAAGGTTCAAATAGGGTAACGGTCTTCTGCTACCAATTAATATATTTAGTCCTGTAGTTGAAGGAATAGCACACTCTGTTGTAGTGCTTAAAATTCAGGTTTCAAACCCTGATGATGCATGATCAGCAGTTATTACAATTGCCCATGCAACCTTCATTCTTGTGCAGATTCATTGTGACACAGTCAGATCACACAATAACATACTATCTTTTCCACAGGACAGGACAGGACAGAGAATGGATGGTGCTGAGAAGTTGTATAGTCAATGAGATTTATCTGTAGGACCCTGCCTCACTTTTCTAGCAGTTGGAAGGTGCATAGAGAATAAAGTAGGGAATGCAAAAAGATAAAAGATGGATGGTCTTGTGGTTAAGACAGGTGACTTACACAGACCTCACTTCCATCCCTCCCTCTACCAGAAACTTCCTACATGACGCTGGGCAAGTTACTTGAAGTGGAATTTTGGTACATGGTCAATAGTAGTTTCTCTCTCATTTTCTAGGGGCCCAACTTGAGATACCAAGGGCTGGATGATCAGCAATGCTAAACACTCTGAAGAGCAACTGAGCTGTGGTTGCTCAGCAGGGCCGCCCGGGGGGGTGGGGGGGGAGGGGGGGCAAGTGGGGCAATTTGCCCCAGGCCCTGGACCTCACAGGGGCCCCCACGAGAGTATAGTATTCTATGGTATTGCAACTTTTTTTTACGGAAGGGGCCCCCCAAAATTGCTTTGCCCCAGGCCCCCTGAATCCTCTGGGCAGCCCTGTTGCTCAGCACAGTAAGGCAGTGTGGCCTAGAGTAGTCAGGAATTGATGTTGCAGGTTCTAATTCTGCCACTGTGTGGCCTCAAGCAAGTCACTGTCTTTGTCTCAGTTTCCCCATCTGTAAAACAGGGATAACAATACTTTATCTCTCCAAGAAGTTGTGAAAATAAACTTATTAGTGTTTGTGAGGCACTCAGGTACTACAGTGGATGAGCACCATGAGTAAATTACTAATTCTGTATTCAGTACATGGTTTTATATGGTGTGCAAGGGTCACATATTAGATAATGGAGATAAAAATATATTGAATAGCTCCTTCATTCCCTGAGCACTATCTCTTCTGTGCACTGACTGAAGCAGAGGTCATATGGAAAAAAATAGTATGCAATCAGGTTATTAAGGTGTCTATCATAATGCACACACACATACAAGCAGCGGAAAGAATAAGGTTTCACAGGCAACCTTAGTTCTAGTATTTCCTAATGTTCAACTGCTTGACTCTACCAACTAAAGAACTTCATTTTAATATGTTCTAACGTAATTATTATTTATATTTTGGTAGCACCCAGCGATCCCAATTAGAATCAGAGCTCCATTGTGTTGGGTGCTGTACAAACATAGAGCAAAAAAAAGTCCTCGCCCCAAGAAGCTTACAATATGGTTATTTAGAATGAAGCAGGAAAGGAGAGCCCTTTAGAAGTTGCGCCTACATAGGACTGAGAATAAAACTGATTGTTCAAGCCCAATACCAGCTTAACCAGTTTATTCCATGGTTTGGCCTACCAGTATAGACAGGCCCAGACACTGCAGGAATTGTGTTTAGATGTTCTGTCCTCGATCCCTACTTTAGGCTAAAATAAAGCTCATTCCATCCCTGGCAACACATTTAGTGGTTAAGAAATTAACATGCAGCTGTCATGCAAGACCAACCGAACAGGTTTAAAGACACCTAAAAACTGCCTCATGGCAAATATTTACTATACCACAAAGAAAACATAGTTTTAAAATGAAAATAAGTATGCAAAGGGATGTGAATCAGAACTATACCAGTCTAATAGTAGCAGAGCTCTGTGCAGATTTACTCTCATACAACACATACTCCCTTTCGGATAGTGTTGAACCAAATCATGTTTGACATCCCCAGAGAACAGCAAACCATTCAACATTAACAGCTTTCCTCTGTAGCTATTACTGATACTCTCTCCCACAGACGCAGGGATAATCCTTCCCTGGCATTATTTACAGCCGGCCTCGTGCTCCTAGGATAGAGGGACCTCTCCACATTCTCTTACTGGTGCCTGGATGCGGAAGGCTCCCCACATCTAGCCATCACCCCCAGGATGAGCACTACGCGCCCTTCCCCTCCACAAGTGCCTACTGCCCACCAACGTGAGCCTCTCCCGAACACCGGGGCCCCCGCCCAGGAGCAGGAGTCCTTTGCTAAGGCCTGGCGCTCCCCTCCTCCGCACCCGCTCACACACACACCCCGCTGGTTATTTGCAACCCTCCCCCCATGAGTTATTGGGGGCACCTGCCCCCTTCTGTCTTTGTCACTTTCATGCTAGTGAAGGAGGCTCCGCCGGCCCCCCAGTCCCTGGGGCTGCTCCGGCTAGAGAGCGGCTCCGGGCACCGCTGGAGGGGCCGCTCCTACCTCCGCGGGGCTTCCCTGCGGGTCCCGCTACCCCGCGGGAAGGGGGGTCCCCCCACGCCCGCTGCCCCTGCACCTAGCGGGCCCGCCCCGGCCCGTCCCTCACCTGGCGCCCGCGGCTGCGGGGGGGAGGTACGCGCAGCCCCCGGCTCCGCCATCTTCTCACTCGGCCAGCGGCGAGCGCGGCTCCTGCTCCCGGCTGCGGCCCCGCTGCGCTCCGGGTGGCCGCCGCACAGGCGCGCTGGGCGCTCCGCGGCACCTGACGCCGCGCTGCGGGGAGGGGGAGGCGGCGGCGCGGGCTGCCAGCGGGGCGGGAGGCGGCGGCTGCTCCGGTGCTCGCTGCGCCCAGAGCGGGTGGGGTGGAGGCTCCGGCGCCTGCAGGTGTTTCCCTCCCCGGCGCTTGCTGCGCGCTGCCGGCGTGTGGCGGCCCGTCCCGCGCCCGCCCCCTGCCCCGGGCACCAGCGCCGGGGAGCGGCCCTTGGCCCTGCAACTGAACTGGCGGGTGGGCGCTAAGCGGGGCCCGGCCGCTGCCTCCTGCGCAGGCAGCCGAGCTCCAGCAGCCACCTCTAGGCGCGCCGGTGGGGGGAGGTGAAGGGCAATTGCAAAGCGGCTGGTGCGTTTCCCTGGCCTCAGAGCTCTGATGGCTTCGGGCTACAGGCTAATGCCGCCTGACATACAGCCTGGCCACTAGACGATGGGGCAGCCAAGAGATGGGCTTCTGGAGTCAAGTCTCTTTTGCTACACCCCCCGCCATCACCTCAGCCTTCGCACACTTGGCCTCTCCATTGTTCTCAAATATTTCTGATTCCCAGGGTGGAGGGAAATTGGTTTGAAAGGATCTTGCCCTGGCTTGACAGATTCTAGTACAAAGTTTAACTCCACGAATATTCTTGAACCGAGCAGCAGGAAAACTTTCTTCACCAGTACAGATTCAGCGCCTCAGGCATAATCCTTCCGGGGTGTGCGTGCGGAGGACGATTCCCCCCTTCCCCCCTTACCGAACAGCTGGATCCTGCTACATTTAGGGACAAGTGAGGAGAAAACACCTGGATCCAGGTGCGCGATTATTTAAGAAATCATTAGTGCCGAGGACAATCAGTGAGAGGTAGATCATGATAGTCAAGTTTCAGGTGCATTCTGACTGCTTCGCACACGCTCCTAGGAAAAGATGGCACCTGGAATTTGGATCCATGTGCGTGGATCTGCTAGAGTGCAAATTTGTTCCTTAATTATATACAAAATCAATACATAAAACAAATATCGGATAAAAGCACGTTTTAAAGGACCAGAAAACAAGTGGGATTCCCGAAAGTATTTTAAGTAGCATTAAAACGTTTATATCGTCTTCCCTTTTTCACTGATTCTTTGTTACTGTATGTATATAATCTTTGTTTCAAAGTTTAGACCCATTGCAGTTCCACAATAAAGGAATTCTGATACCAGGCAGTGAGCTTTTAAAACACGCAGGATGAAAAAAATGTAATTGGCATTTAAAAAGGAAAGACAACAACACTACATGTGAGATGTCAAGCCTTAAACCTGTTGATTTTTTTTTATATATTATAAAGAGACACATTGTGTCATAGCTTTGCATGCAAAGGTATGTTTTGTGGAGTAACATTACTTCATACATTGATAATTAGGCTATTGTAATTAGTTTATCCAGGGAGGGAAGCTAAACGATCTGTAGCATCTGGCTTTCAGGGAGGTCCTGGTTTAACTCATTTTTCCAGCTGAGCAGATTGAAACAAAAGAAGGTTAAGTGACTTGTTGGAGGTCACACAGTGCCTTGAATAAACCAATGGCAAATTCTCATTATTAGCTCCTTCCGAAGCTGCTAGACATTCTGCCTGCTTTTCGGTGTGGAATACAGCTTGAAAAAGATACAATATGTCATCTATAGTTATGTTTCTCAGTATTCTAAATACACGGTTCTTTCCATTGTTTGGGCTGAGAAGAAGGTTACTCTGCTGGGACAGTCTGATTGTTTTCTTCATACATCTAATGACAGGCTCCAAAAAAGAATGATGGAAATTGCTTTCTGGATTTCTGAAATCTTCTATTTTCTCGTTAGTATCTGTATGTTTGTGATCAAGGGACAGGACTGAAATCTATACAGTTCAGCTGGTACATCTGCTTTGCTTCTGATATCTCTATTTCAGCTAATTCCTGCGAAAACTCTGATGGCGTTAGTACTAAGGGAGTGTAAGATATCTCCATCTGTGTGATGGGAAGGCATGCACTCTTCAGATGGATTGAGCAAATCTTTCTTTGCATAGAAGCAATGAAGTTTTAACAGACAATTTAGTCCTACAGCTGCTCTGTCCTACTATACTTGTACTGGACAGTTATCCTCCCAGTATATAGTTGTCCCCATGAAAATACAAGGCAATATGGAACATAATTTTGTCAGTATTAATGCTACTTCAAATAAATTACAGTTTCTTGCTACATGTGAATTGTTTTGTTGGAACTTGCTTGTGAACTATTTTTCTTTCAAGTCAGTACATTCAAATGGGTTTTGATTTACATGTACCATTAAAATAATTTTACTAGACAGAACGATGATTTCCTATCAAGTAATTATAGATGGTGCATGAAGTAATACCTATAAGTTAAAGTTGCCCAACACTTTCCCTTATAAGGACGTTGTTTTCAGTTGCTGATAACTGCACCAAAGTTAAACCATTTGGGCTGAAAATTTCCATGCTGGGCATCTCCCTCAGCCTGAATTATTCTGGAAAGTTTAATCTAAAATGGTTCATCTTGTTCTAAGAATGAGCTTAGGGGGAAATGCATTTTTGCCCAGTTTAAAAAAATTCTTACAACCATTTCACTGAGGAGCTCTATTGCCAAGTTATAACTTTCTGAAGAAAAAAAAATCATGGTTCACACATACTCAGTAGAGACTTGTTAGAGTTTGGCAGCTAAATACACCAAAGATTCTATCTGTACTGGGTATACTCCATTCTCTCACATGGCTCCTTCCTGCCCACTGGATGAGCCACAGACTCACTGAACATGCCCTAGACCAGCACTGCAGGGGCTGAGCAGAACTTCCCCTGCAATGCTCCCCTTGCTGCTGCCAAGGGCCACTGTACAACTGGAACTGAGACCAAGACCACTCATATGCTCTCAGTGCTCTCCTTGCTGATGCCCAGGGAATGTGCAGAAGGAAGAAATAGATGACTCAAATGCTGAGGTGTAAGGAATGTGGGGAAGGGGGAGATAGGATGCAGAAGGAACAGGGCCAGGAGCTCAGGGGATAGGAGCCTGGTGGTGTAGGAAGTTAGAAACAGGAGCTCAGAGGTGGGAAACAGGGACAGGAAAAGAGGGAGGGGCAGGAGCCAGAGAAGAGGGAGGATAGGAGTGGGGAAAAACAGACAGGAGCCGGAGGGAAGATAGGAGTGGGGGAGGGAGGAGACAGGCAGGAACTGGGGAAGAATATCAGCAGTGGAATGACAAGGACAGGAGCTGAGAAGAGGGGAGAACTGAAGGGGTCAGGAGCAGAAAGGTCTGTAACCACTAGAAAATGCTCTCCTACAGAACCTGGACTTGAGCCCATCATTCCCAAGTCTCAATATTCCCTTTCAGTCTAGCAAATAGCTATGAAACCCACTGGCAAAGTATGCACCTCATCCTCCCGCTCCCCCTCTAGTGGCAGGTCACATAGAAGATAACAGATCTCTAATGCTGCCAGTTATGCTATTAGCTCAAGGCAGTAGAGGACTGTGCTCTGGATCTAAAGACCCCAATCCTGGTGATAACCAAGTTAAGCAACAACATGGTTTCATGGGATGAAATTTTTGTTTTTCCAATATTTGTTTTTTTAATGTAATTCCCTAGGTTTTTAAAAACAAACAAAACTCCCTAAATTACAAGAATAGTGAGGCTGCAAAGAGAAGCACTCAAAAGTAAGGAAATGCCAGAATTGTTTGCCTGTGCAACCTTAATTTGCCTCGTTTGTATGTATTATGATAGTCTTTAATTACATTATTACATACTAATATTTTAATAAGTGGTGCATAGCTTTTTTTTATGTATTCATCTAATTCTCACACACACATCACCTTTCTTTCTCTTCCATCTCCTGTTCCCCCTTCTTATTTTCTACTATATATGTACCCCTCCCAAACCCTCATATTAAATAACTCCAATTATAAACAATCTTAGGCATAACAGGATATACCTTTGTGACTCACATTGCAGGATCAAGGCCTTGCTTCAGTGATTGTTGTGCATAAATTGATTTTTAATGAGTTTTGGATTACTTTTGATTCTGGGATTAAACTCAAGATTCTTTGCTACAAAGTTAGGCAAAGAAATGGCAAAAGCGCTCCTAGTTTTTCATGTTTTGACAGGCTGTGACACAGCCTCAGCATTTGCTGGGAGAGGTAAAAAAAGAAAAGTCCTCCTAGGAAGCATGGAATGTTTGCCCTTAAGTCACAGAAACATTTGTTTAGGTTTCTCATCACCAACTGCTGAAATCATTGATACTTGCCTTAAGGAAATTGAGTTGTTTGTAGTGTTTCTGGGTAACTGCACTAGTGCATTGGGAATGCCAGAGAGACAAAAGAGCACCCTTTCACCAAACAGTATGTTTAATAGATTTCATAGAGTTCAAGGCCAGAAGGGACCATTAGATCATCTAGTCTGACCTCCTGTGTAACACAGGCCATTACATTTCATCTAGATATCCCTATATTTAGCCCAATGACTTTCAGCCGTGTTATGGCGTGGCTGCCCCACACAGGCACAGAAGGGTTTAATCCTGCCCTGCCCTAGAAGGAGCAATGGAGGTGAGTCCTCTGAATGTCCCAGAGAGGCTGCATGAAGCACAGCCAATCAGGGAGGAGGTGCAGGGACTAACCAATCTGGGCCCGGCTGGCTCAAATAAAAAGGAGCTGCAGGGTCAGGGTCAGGGGATATCATAGGTTAGGGGAGACTACATCTTCCCTAACCCAAGCTGTGGCCCTGCCCTGGCTCCCACTCTTCCCTGAAGCTGGGGGGGCTCAGCTCAGGCTGGCAGCCTGGAACTGTGGCTCAGCTGGCTGGCTGCTTTGGCCAGCTGGTGGCCTGGGGTGGCTCAGGCCAGGGGGTGGCTGGCTGGTGGCTTGGGGGCTGGGCTGGTGGGTGCTTGGGCTGGTGCTTAGGGCTGTCTGGCAGCCCAGGGGTTGGTACAGTTTGGCTGGGGCTCCTCTGGCCACGGTGAAGGGGTGGGGGAACTTGAGGCTCTGGCAGGTGAGAGGATGTGGGGTAAGGGCAGGGGGGTGAGCTTCCCCGAAGGGGGCATTCCTGTGCCACCCATGTGCAGGGCAG